GCCAGGGAGAGCAAGCCCAAGCTGTGACCAAGCACCCACTCCTCTATGCTGCAATAGCTTGGAGCTGCCACAACAGGGCCCTGGCCTTCTCTTAATTATGGACAGGAAACAATGGCAGGATGCAGTTGTAGAAGTACTTCCAGGCTGATAAGACTTGAAGAGCCAGGAGGGAGAGCTCCTGGAAGCTGCCTTAATGAGCTGCCTTGCTCCTCTAACACAGCTCAGTTTGGTCCCTGAGACTCCCTGAATGCCCCTGCAAACAGCCAGAACAGAAACAGTAGGTTTCCTATGGCAGCCTGGTCCAGGCCAGGAGACAGAACCAAGTTATGTCAACATCACTTTGGGAACCCCCTGAGGTGTTTGAGAAACACCTCGAACCAAGCCAACTTAGCAGCAGGGTGACAGGAAGAAGTATGCCGACACTTCCTGCCCCTGTCACCCATGGGCATGAACAATCCGGGCCAGAACTCACAAAAAACAGCCTGTTTGGAGTCTAGCCAGTGTTTTATGGACAGGTTAAAGACAGAGGCCCTGGGTCGGGCATGGTGGCACATGCCTTTAATCCCAGCACTCTGGAAGCAAAGGCAGGAAGATCTCTGAGTCTGAAGCCAGCCAGGTCTACTTAGCAAGCCCCAGGACAGCGAGGACCACATAGAAAAACCCTGTTTCAAAACAAACAGCGACAAAAGATGAAAGCCCCGATCACAAATCCAAGACTTTGGAGAGGAAGCGGGGGAAATGATGATTTCATTCTAATACCACCACCCCAAAAGATTCACACACGGGCTTGCGCATGCTCGCCTGCACACCTGCTCTCTGCTAGGCCTAGAACCCAAGACCTACGGGTGATGAACAAACGGTCTTCCACTGAGCTACATACATCCCGAGGCCAACGCCCCACTTCCAGAGCCCCGATTCTTTACACTGTCGTACCCTGCACACATGAATGCACTCCACTCCCGCCTCCGAACCGCCCATTCCCCAAAGCCCCATTCTCAGCACGCTCCGACCAACTAACTCCTGGTCTAAAAGACACAGGTACAGTGCAGGAGAGAGGAGAAGGCAGGACTCCCTCTCCGTGGGCTTCCGGGCACTTAAGCTGGGCAGTTACGACAGAGCGCTTGGCGGTGGCCTACACCTTTGCTCCCTACTATACCATCTGCTCCAAGACTCTGAAGAACCACTATGTCCACCTTCACCATGCTCCCTTCACACACACCACACACTGCCCCGTTCCCTTTTCCACCGTCTTAGTTAGGGCTTCTATGGCTGTGACAAAACACCATGGCCAAAAAGGGAGGAAAGGGTTTATTATGCTTCCAAATCACAGTTCATCGCCAAAGGAAGTCAGGACAGAAACTCAAACAAGGCAAGAACCTGGAAGCAGGAGCTGACGCAGAGGCTGCTCAGTCTGCTTTCTTATAGAACCCAGCACCATCAGCCCAGGGATGGCCCCACCCACAATGGGCGGGGCCCTCCCCACAGCAATCACTAATTAAGAAAATGCCCTTCACGTTTGCATAACAGCCTACAAGCATTTTCTCAATTAAGGTTCTCTCCTCTCTGATGATTTCAGCTAGTATCAACATAAAACTAGCCAGCACAACCACTCAAGGTAGGAAGGCTAGTATTACCAGGGAAGAAAAAAAATGAAAGAGGCAAGATTAGCCCTTAACATTTCTGTTGCCAGAGTCGTTAGGGGTAGAGTCCGGACTCTAGAAGCCTAGTAAGCTAGCCTTGGTCAGCCATCCTCAACAGACCCATTTAAAAAGGCATGTGGTAATGAAAGGTTAATGAATAAAGATTCATTCACGTGGCCACTTTGGGAAGCAGAACAAGGAGGCCCAGTGACCTTACCCTAAGTCCATCTATGAGATACTGATATGAAATTAGGGTTAAATAGAGGGCAGGATACATACATACAGGCACACACATGTAATCAGTATGCTGGTCATGCACTACTGGTCAAGGCTTGGCCCCGCCCATCTTTTCCCCGGGAGACAAGTCCCTCCTCCAGCTTTACCCTCCCCAGAATGAGATTCCTGGGGAAACTCCAGTGTCTTAGGAATTGTCTCAATAGCCTGATATAAAAAGAGTAGTGCAGGTCTCATCAGGATATCCATTCCAGTTCCAGGGACCTTACACCCTCTTCTGGTCTTTCAAAATGCTGAGCAATATAGCACTTTTTTTTTTTAAGACACAGCTGACCCTGATAGCCAAATGAACTGGTGCCTGGTGGTGTGTTTTTAATCCCATCCCTCAGGAGGCTGAGGAAGGAAGACCAGGAGTTGAAGACCAGCCTTTGCTTCATAGTGAGACTCAGCCTTGTGAAGAAAAAAAAAAATCAAAATTAAAAGTCTGAAAAAAAAATGTTGGAAATTAAATCCAAGAAAATTACTCCAAAAAATAAGAAAGTGAAAAACTGTAAGAAGTGCTAGGAAAGAGCATAAAATGAAAGGATCCCAGGAGAAGCTCTGACAGCCAATGCTGGGATTTTATGAACCGTGCTCTGTCTGTGTTCACAGCCTCAGACCCCCGAGCATTTTAACTCAGATAATTATGAGGGTGGGCAGGAAACCGCAGCTGGGGGGAGTGGAAGTGTGATACGGGGAAAGGAAAGCCACTACTGAAAGATGTTTATAGGACATCCATCAGGAGAGACGGAGGGAGGGAGGGGGCAGGAATGGAAAGGGAGGACCATCAATTTAATCCTTGGGACAGGGAGGTAGTATGGGAAAGACTCAGCCGTGGAGCTGTGATATTTCTGCACTTAGTCCTGTCAATTGTTAGCCAGGACTGTTTCATTAGCTGTTAAACGCCCGGCTCATAGACACAGAGATGGGTCTCAGATAAGTTAGGTCAGAGGATTATGGGAGAGGACTGTAGTAAATGGTCCCACTAAGTCTTCATTCAGAGTTAGGGAATTTTGGTTTTCCAGAAAAAAAAGACGAGCTTACCATCATCAGCATTTATGAAGAAGGTACTTTAGGAAGAAGGAAGTTAAACTCAGAAAGAAAAACACTAGAAATAAAAGTAAACAAAGAATTCGGTAGCCACGGGACGAATATGAACAGGTGGTGACTTCACAAGCCAATAACAATGATAGCGAGAAATGAAAGAGTTAAAATAATAAATAAATAGTAGGAGGCTGAGGCAGGAGGATAGTGATTTTAAGGTCACCCTGGGCTACACATAAGACTTTGTTTCCCAAAAAAAGAAAGAGAAAAAAACGGAAAAAGGAGAACAGAGTACTAGAAAGAAATAGGACAAAGAAATGACAATCGTGGTTGGGTGTAGTGGCGCATGCCTGTGATCCCAGCATTCAGGAGGCAGAGGCAGGTAGATCTCTGTGAGCTCAAGGCCAGCCTGGTCTAGGAATTGAGTCCAGGACAGCCAAGGCTACACAGAGAAACCCTGCCTCTACAAACAAACAAAAAAGAGGGATGACAATCGCAATGAAAGTAGTTTAAGGTTCTTGCATTCTTCAGACTTAAGACAGGAATACATAGAAAATGAGAAGAACAGAGTCTGAAGAACAGAATTCAGGGCTGCGGTGTAGCTCAGCTAACAGAGTGCTTGCTGCACACACGAGCCCTGCGGTCAGTTCACAGCCTGTGATCTCAGTACTTAATTCAGGAAGTAGAAACAGGAGGGTCAGGAGTTTAAGGCCAGCCTCTGAAAAAAAAAGATGAGTTTAAGGCCAGCCTGGGTTGCCTGAGACCCTGGTTCAAACAAATAAATTACTAGAGGGTAGCATTTTTATAAAATTAAAGACTAAAATAAGAGGCTGGAGAGGTGACGGGGCTAAGAGCACATATTCATCTTCCAGGTGACCTGGGTTCTATTCCAACACCCACACGGCAGCTCACAGCCATCTATGACTCCAGTCTCAGGGGATCCAACGCTTACTCCTGGCATCCAAGGGCACAGACATACCTACAGGCAAAACACTTATATACGTAAATTAAAAAAAAAAAAATTAACCCTTACAAAAGAAAAGACTGTATAATAAAATGAAATTCAAACCAGTATATTTTTGCTTGTAAATATGGCTAACTATGGAAAGTAAACATGCTACAATAACCACTAAATTTGAGATACTGGTAAAGTCTGGGGAGCAAGAGAGACGACAGGGCCTATGGAGCAGCCCGTGGGGGCTGGCCTCTGTAAACTCTTCATCGTTTTAGCTATTTCAACACTATGGAGTAAATGGAGCATTAGGATGGGCAGAGCTGGCTAGAATGCAGGTGCTTCTGTATTAGCGTCTCTGGGTCTGTATACGGTTGCAATCTTCCTTTAAATAAAGAGTCCCGAAGCCAAGTGAGTAGGGAGTGAAGGCTATGTTATCTGAGCTCCGTGTGTTTGTTGAAGATTCTGCGATTTCTCCTGTTGATGACGTCTAGTCAGGAGAGCTCATGATTATAGGTTATTATTATTATTGTTGTTATTGTTATTATTATTATTATTATTTAACTTTTTTATTAGTTCTTTGTGAACTTCACATCACCCACCCCAGTCACAAGTTTGGGCTACACAGTAGTCCTAGGCCAGCCTGGGCAACAGAATGAGACCCTGCCTCAAAACCAGGCAGCGGAAAGGCAGGCTGGCAGGGGCTATGGGAGCTGCTGCAGAGAAACACTCAGCATTTCTCACCCAAAACTGAGGCGCTGTGGTAGGAAGCCATCTTGAGAAGGTCATGCCCAAGCTTTGGGAGAGTAAGCCCCTACATTTTTCTTTACCCTGGAACTCCCTCATTATGTAATGTGGCACAGTCCCTGACAGTGCTTTATTTGTAGCACGGTGTGACCTAGGCAGAACGCCTCTGAGGAAAGCTCATTGACAAATACATATGACGGACTTGGAGTCAGGGACACAGGACAAAGTGCAGCTTGCTTTCCTATTAAGAGCGGTGGCTCTGGCGGTCGGCCAAAGAGGATTGAGAGGCCGAGCAGACAAGTACCAGTTTGTGCAGAGACTGAACATCAAAGATTCTTTAGTCGTCCTCCCGGCAAAGGGCAAAGAGACACCTTGTTAGTGGTGGTTTTCTTATATCAGTCGGGGCAGAGCTGATGGCCGTCCTTTGTTCCTCCAAGCTCGATGCCTGGCTTGGTGGCCAAAGCTGTTCTATGCCCAGGACTCACAAAAATCAAATCAAGTCAAATCCAGGCAGCGAGACTGCAGGAGAGCTGGGCCCACCACTCGCCACTCATCTCCTGTGAGGTGCTGTGGGTATGGGGATGATCCCCTCTTCTCCCACCACCACCTGCAGCAACCAGGAAAACCTGCTCTGTGGTCGTGAGAGCGTAGCGGTCCAGCCCCTCACAGACTGCAGCACTTGGGAGATCGGGGCCCTGAAACTTGACTGGGCAGCACGGTGGAGCTGGCTCTGGAGGCTTGAGTGCAGGTGAGCTGGCCCCGAGGCCGTGAGAGCAGGAAAGCTAACTCTGCCTCTTGCCGGTTTCGGCACTGGGTGGCCCAGCAGGGGCAGTGCTGGAGAGCTCGCCCTGGTGATCTGGATAAGGGAGAGCCAGTGGGCTGACCAGCTCAGCGACCACCCAGGCCCAGATCCAGGCCCCTGAGATGGCCCACCTCCAAAGCTATATCCTCCGTTGAGACACATTTGTGTCATGGGTTGGGATGTATGAAAGGGCCAGTCCTGCTGTTCCAAAGCTGCAGGATCTCCATGACACAGGGCAGCAACAGGATAATTAGAAGGATGAGGATCCAATATTGGTGGTGTCACAGAAGCCAGAGGTCCTGAACCAGATCAATGACTCACCGCAATGAACATTTGCAGGTGAAGATGTGTGGTCAGAGGGATGTACAGCGGGACACACTGTGACCTACTACAGCTTCCACAATGAGATGCTTTCTATGCTGTGTGTGTGTGTGTGTGTGTTGGGGGAGGATTCAAGGGCAAAGACCAGATATGAGGGGACAGAGAGATGAGTAGGACCGGGGCACATGATATGAAACTCACAAAGAACTAATAAAAAGTTAATTTAAAAAAAAAAAAGTCTATAATCGTGAGCCCTCCTGACTAGACGCCATCAACAGAAGAAAATTTTCTAAGTCTTCAACAAACACAGGGAGCTCAGATAACAGCATTGCAGGAGGTGGTCATTGAAGAAATTGAATGGAGAGTCCAAATGTGTTAGGTTCAAATGAAAATGCAGCATATCAGAATTTGTGAGGTGTAACAAAGGTAATTCTAAAGTGGAAGTTCAGAGAGGGCGGATCTATACATATTATATATACATACATACATATATATGTGTGTGTGTGTGTGTGTGTGTGTGTATCATTGTGTTTAACCTCTGTACTGACAAACTAGATTTCTGGCTGCCACTCACCTTGCTACACCTATAAAAGTCCTTTCTCTTACAGCTTTACATCTAAATAGATCCACCATGACCTCTCATACCTCTAACTTATACACCTTTCCTTTCGTAAAGCACCCACTTCTGTCCTTCATTTTACAACTTAAGTACCAATTCCCTTTCCTTCAAAGAATCTCAGAAACTAATCCTCTCCAACCAGTACACCATTGCCAGTCTCTGTACCCTAAAGGAACACACGTGTAAGACAAAAGGGTCTTCCAGAGCTAAGCCAGACCAGAGCTAGTAGGGACACCACTGGCTCCATCCATGACAGCCACAACAAGCACACCTCTCAGGGAAGACATGCCTTTTAGAAGGGTTCAAACACACGACCAAGTGGAATTATAAAGGGGGAAAGAACAAAAACTGACAGACACATCCACCAGGACAGAAGCTCAAGCAAGATAAATAAGCAAAAGTTATGAGACAAAAAAGCCCACAAGCCATGCCCAATCCACCCATAATCACAACCATAATCACCCATAATCACAACGGAAAGTACCAAGATTGCTGAAGTGTCTGAGAAGGAATTTAGAGTCCTGCTTTTAAAAGATTATTAGTGATCACATAAATGTCTCAAATAAGCAGAAGAATGATCTAAAAAAAAAAAAAAAAAACTCTAAAGTCAACCCCAACAGTACTGTTGCCAAAGTGACCAGTGGGTAAATTTGGGAAGGAAGTGACAAAAGTTCAGGAAATTTTAACAAGAAAAATCACAACACTGCAAAGAAACCAGGCATAACTGAAAATTAAAAAAGCAATCAACCAAATGAAAACCTCACCGGGAAGCACCTCTTATCAGTGCTTATTACCGTCTGTTGACAAGGTAAGTTTCAGGATGGAGGGCAGAGTTATGTCATGTAACATTTGTAAAAAAAAAAAAATATTAAGGATTTTGACCAATATTTTCAAGTCTAGAATATATTCAAGAGATAGTAGATAAATGCTAAGATAAATACAAAAGGCAAATTACTTAATGAAATGTAACAGAAATTTCCCAACCAAGAAAAAAAATTGACATTCAAATACAGGAGGCATTTAAAACCCCAAACAGGAGTGACCAGAGAATGACCTCTCCACCCACCCCCCCGTGTGGTATTCAAGATGATAAAAGCACAAAGTAAGGAAATAATATTAAACACTGAAATGGGAAAACACTGACTCATCTACAGAGGGAACAATATCAGAATAACCTTAGACTTTTCATCAGTAGCCTTGAAAGCCAGAAAAGCATGGAATGATAGATTTCATGTTCAGGGAGCAGATAACTCCAAATCAAGAATGTTGTTACCGGAAAATCTTTCTCCCAACTGGTGGAGAAATGGGGACATTGTAAGATAAACACAGATTAAAGCAGCTCATGGCAATCAAGCCAGCACTTTAAAATTCTTGAAAGACTGTTACACCGAAAAGAAAAAGAAAAAAAAAAAAAGCCTCATGCATGAAAAAAAAAAAAAAATACACCCTTGAAAGGAACAGATGAACAAAGAAGAGCTGAAAAACCAGAAAACCCCAAAACACTCACAAGGGAAAAAAGGAAAGCAAACACACAAACAAACCTAATAAACCAGCCAAATGGTACAGCCCCTAACAAAATGACCATGTTATCCAAAGCAATCTACAGATCCAATGTGATTCCCACGAAAACCCCAGCAGCATTCTTCACAGAACTAGAAAAATATCCAACCTGCAGAGCTATGGTGTCAAAATCAGCATAATACAGGCACAATAACAAGACATATAGACCAGTAGATTGTGGGCCCAGAAATAAACCCACAAAGCTGTGGCCATTTAGTTCTTGACAAAGGCATCAAAACCAGACGAGAGCTAAAAATCACAAGTGGTTTGGAGAAGACTGCACACTCACAGAAGACAGAACTCACATCCTCAGCTCCGACCCTGAACGAACATCGATGACTACCTCGAAGACCTTAACTGAAAAGCTGAAACTGAGCCAGGCGTGGTGGCACACGCCTGTGATTGAAGCACTCGGAGAGGCAGAGGCAGATGGATCTCTGTGACTTCAAGGCCAGCCTGGTCTACAAAATGAGTCCCAGGACAGCCAAGGCTACACAGAGAAACCCTGTCTCGAAACAAAAATAAAATCTGAAACAGCTGGAGAAAAAACAAGGAATGCACATGAAGTTATAGTACAGGCAAGAGCTTGCTAACAGGACAGGAAAATGGTCTCAAGAATCAGCCAATGATACTACATGAAATTTTAAAATCTCTGCATGGCAGAGGACGCTATCAGCAGAGTAAGCAATCCACAGAATTGGAGAAAATGTTTGCCAGCTACACCTCCGACAGGGCACTGATACCTAGAACATAAAAGGAATTGCAACACCAAAAACATGAAAATACCCATCGAGAAATGGGCTAATTAAATGAAGGTACAGCTCTCAAAAGAACAAACACAAAGACCAAGGAACATTTGTTTTTAGTGCTCCTCATCCTCAGCCATCAAAGAGACACAATTAAAGCCGCTTTGAGGGTCTATCTCGCCCCAGTCAGAATGTCTGTCAGCAAGAGAGGAAACGCTGGTGAAGCTGAGGGGAAATAGGAACCTTTGTCCAGGGCAGCTGGGAGCGTGATTTAGTGCAGGCTTTATCGAAATTAGCTTGGAGACTCCTCAAGGAAACCAAAAGTAGAACTACTACATGACCCAGCTATACCCCTCCTGGGCATGGACCCCAAAAATCCTATGTCCTACACAGATCCTCACTGGTCCGTGTTCATTGCTGCCTGATCCACAAGAGCCAGGCAATGGAACCAGCCTTCAAATCTGTCAACAGATGGACAGGTAGAGAAAATGTGACAAAACGCACATAGAATTGTATTCAGTTGCTAAGAGATAATGAAAACAGGGCCTGAAGGGGTGGCTCAGTGGTTTAGGGCACACGCTGTTCTTGCAGAGGATCAGAGTTGGCTTCCCAGCACCCATGTCGCAGCTCACAACCACCTGTAACTCCAGATCCGGGCGCTCTGACGCCCTCCTCTAGCCTCCAGAGGTGTAGCAGGCACGCCTACTGTATACACACAAGCATGCAGGCAGGCAGGCAGCCATACACACAAATCTCTTTTAAATTTCTATCAAAAAATAAAAAAAGAAGGAAGAGAACCAAAATAAGAAAGGGAGGAAGGGAGGGAGGGAGGGGGGAGGGAGGGAGGGAGAAGGAAATTTACAGGGAAATATGTGGATTTGGAAAATAAATAAAATGAAGTGACCCAGTCTCAGAAACATCACATGTTCTCTCTCCTATGTGGAGTCTAGCATATGTTTGTATGTATGGGTATAGCCATGCGTATAGACTATGAAATGAGAAAGGAGAGCTTGAAAGAGGAACAGAGGTGGTGAGGAATGAGGAAGACAAAAGACCGCATGGGACAAGAAAGCAGAATTCTAGGAGTGTTTGCATGTGAGGGGTCATGGGAGAGGGGGGAGAATGGGGAAGAATTCAGGGAGAGAAACAACAACAAAAGTTTTTGTTTGAAAACGCCATAATGAAATCCATGTTTTTGTAAGCTGATAAAAATAATAATAAATGAAGAAAAAAAACCTTTTCTACATGTCAGGCATAGTTTGTATGCCAGAACTCGGGAGGCTAAAGCATAACAGTTTAAGGGCTAAGCCAGCCTGGACTACGTAGGAAGACCTGTCCTAAAGACAAACAAACAAACAAAGAAAAAAAAAAACTCCATATATTTTCACATTATAAAGTAACCATATAGTTTATCGGTCAAAAATAATTTATAAGAGAAT